ATGCTTATAAAGCTCCGTAAATTTCAAGATTAGTTATTCCAAAATTCTCTTGAGGATGAAACAGAGCTGGGTACTTTAATTCAATTTAATTTCTATAATTAAATTGAAGTTTGTAGTTACTGTTTTTGAAACATGAGAACTCTTATGTAGCGATGGAATCATATTTGTTAAAAATAAGTAATTATAATTTCGGCTCTACATGTGTATTGAGTACTGTTTTTTTTTTTTTTTAAATAAAAGCAGAAATACTAAAGAACATTTGATTATTAACCTAACGGTTCTTTCCTATTTTTTTATACATTTGCATACACACACACACACTCGCACATACATACATACACCCCCTACATATATATATATATATATATATATATATATATATATATATATATATATATATATATATATACATATGCGTGTGTGTATGTAATTAAATATATAACTAGAAATTCAGCGTCATTTAACAGTTAAAAGTTAAATTTGAAATTGGGAAAATATATACCAAGCATGCATGCATATATATATATATATATATATATATATATATATTCACGTATCGCAGTAACAATTACTGTATGTGTAAGTACACATTTAAAAATAAAATATTACAAAAATATGATATATACATACATGCATTTATATATCTGCATGAATGTAGTTGGTTCTATATCGTTGGTACTGATTTGTCGTTTTATACCCCACCTCCTCCACACACACAAACACATATATATATATATGATTCGTACATATATGAAAAGATATGCATTGTTATCTGTAGCACACGAGACATTACTAAGTCAAGGAAACATTTTAATGCAACATTTTCCCGCCGGCTGAGAGGTCACGTGACTAAGTGATGTACTTGAAAGGACCCATTGAATGACAGATGTAAAAAAAAAAAAAACTGTCAGGAGAAAAGTCGAACAGAAAGAATGAATGAAAGAACGTCAAAAAGAAAAGGGAGAAAGAAATTGAATGAATGAAAAATAAGTAAAAAAGGTGAATACAAGAAATAAGTGAATGAAAACAACGAAAAAAAAAAAGAAAATGAAAAAGGATGATACAGAAAGACTAATAGAAGGAAATAGTCTCTGAGAAATGATGATATAATAAAAAAAATATGGGAAGAATGGGTACAAGGTGAGTATAAAATTAGTTAAAGAGGAATAAAGGAAAAAAAGAAAAAAACTGAAAAAGAAAAAAAAAAGAAATGTTTTATCAATTCAACCCAAACAAGGCGATAATGACACTAAGACGCAAGAGTCTACTGCGATAGAAAGGGAATGACATGAATTTAGAAAGAACCGGAAACCCAACACAAAACAAGGGATAAACTTCTACTCCTGTTCAAAAGATCTGAGTGGAGAGTATGAACCAGACCATAGGCAAACCTATCTTCCCATACTGAGGAAGAAAAATAATTAGAAAATAAAATTTCAGTGTTCAGGCGGTTGAAATTTGAAAGAAGCAGAAAGCCAATCATGAAGATGGAACAAGTGGTAAGCCTCTAGTTTTGTTCGAAAGACCGGGAAGGAGAGGGGTGTGAACCGGATGATAGGTGGACATCTATTCCTACCGAAGGGGCAATAATAGATAAATAAATAATTAGTAAATAAAACTTCAGGGTTCGCTATTTATCGATCCACACACAAGGATTGAATATGACACAAGGCCGGTTTAATGTAGGCTCGGCCAAAAATATAGCCTTTGAACCCGCCTAGACGGGTTCAGGCCCTGTCTACCTCCCCGGACGAAACTCCGCCCTTCGGCAAAGCCTCGTCCGGGTTCCTCTCCGCTAACGCAGAGAGTTCGACAGAAGGCGCGCGCAGTCAGAGACCGCTCAACACCACTAAAAGAGGGTTCAGGCGCAATTAGGTACGTAGTTTAAGTATATATTTGAAGTAGACTTTAGAAGGGACCGGAAACCCAGTCCTAAACAGTAAATAAAGGATAAACGTTTACGCTTGTTCTACAGACCTTGGAGGTGAATTGAACGGGAGATAGGCAAATCTATCTAATCCTACTGAGGAGAAAAATAAATAGTAAATAAAATTTCAAAGTTCAAACCGAGACGTAAGAATTATAGAATTGAAATAGACTTTAGAAGAAAACGGAAACCTGTTGATAAGCAGAAAACAAGGAATAAATCTATAATCCTGTTCAAAAGTCCGTGAAAAATAATTAGTAAATAAAATTTCAGAGTTCAGTCAGAGGTCAGGTGGACGTATAGATTTTACGAGGAAGCGGAAAGCCAATCATGAGCTGGAAACAAGTGATAAATCTATAGTCCGGCTCAAAAGAGGAAAATGAAAAAAAAGAAAGAAACATATTACAAGAAAAACATAAAAGAAAAAAAAGCTTATGATAAAATGTTCTTAGGCAAGAACAAATAGAAAAAAGGGGAAAAAAAGATAAAAATGTGAAACAAAAGGATGAGAAAGTAAGATATAGTTACAAAGAAAAATGAAAGAAAGAAAACTATAAAAAGGTTGAAGAAGTAAGAAAGTGACAAAAGATATATATATATATATATATATATATATATACATATATATATATGTGTGTGTGTGTATGTGTGTACGTAAGTGTGTGCGATATTTATAACCCATTTCGTTAAACGTTAATTTTGATGGATACTCATAATTAAACAAAATAACTTAAAAAATATAAATATGTCGGATTTAATATATTTCCTTTTTATATATATATATATATATATATATATATATATATATATATATATATATGAACACGAAGTTTGCTTTTTCTATCTCTCTTATATATGCAAGGTGTGCGAAAGAGGACTGTAATTTTCTAGTTAAGTGTATACTTAGGAAATAATTATATATATATATATATATATATATATATATATATATATATATATATATATATATTATGAAATGGACTAAGTCCGATAATTTTTCTAATATATGTTTTTGTTTATACATTATTTTTATTGATAATGATATTTGAGTAAATGCTCTGTTTATAATAAACAGGTATCCCTGGAGGGCAAAAAATATATATATACATACACTGGCAAAAACAGATAGACTATTCCCAGGCACACACACGAACACAGGAAGAGTATGTATATGTGTGGGGTGTTATGTATGTATATGTGTACGTGTATATACATATACATATGTGTGTATGACGATTCCTTATTATAAGACTGTATGTATATATAGGGAGGGAATATACATATGCAGGCTAACGGGAATAGGAAGACATCTCATATCAACACATCTATCATCACCACCTCTCATACCAAACCTTTTTATTAAATTTAGGGAGAAAGTCACTTTTGCCAACAGTTCGAAAAGGAGTTCAAGGTTCACTAACAAATACGGGAAACGCACAATGAGACATTAAATGGACATAAGTAAAATTTAATCCTTTTAAAAATGTATTCCTTTTATTTGCCTGAGGAAGATCGCGAGACCGGGAACGCGTGTAGCAGAAATATGAAGAATAAAATATAATATATACTAAAACAAATCCACATTATAGCCAAAAAAACGTATACATTTTCTCTCGGAACAATTATAACCTTTTTCCCTATATATATATATATATATATATATATATATATATATATATATATATATATAATTATTATTTATAAAAATTATAACATAAGTATGTTATAATGTTATAACAATAACATTATAACATACTTATGTTATAATTTTTTTATATATATATATATATATATATATATATATATATATATATGTGTGTGTGTGTGTGTGTGTGTGTGTGTGTGTGTGTGTGTGTGTGTGCTTTTCTTCTTCCACATATAGAAATGACCATGACTTCGAATTACTGGGGTCTGGATGGGTAAGTAGAACATTAATGAGTCAGATCTTCCCTCTGAGAAGTCTGTTGCTGTTGTGACATGAAATACTGGCAACTTTTTTACTTGTTGGTGGATCTGATAGTGTATTGTCAACTGGAACTTGTAGTAGTCTTGCAATGGGATCTTCGTTGATGGTTGAAGGTCGATTGAGTACAGTGTTGAAGTGTTCTGCCCAACGGTCAAGTATCTTTACTATGTCGAGATCAATATGTTCCCATCTGCACTGAAGAGGGGAGGATGACGCAGACGAAGTGAGAGCGCAGACATCCCTGAGAGCGCTATAGAAATGTCCTTCTTCTCTGGGTACGCCTGGATAGCGTTGGCCCGCACGCTAAGCCTGCGGCGTACTTCAGACCGAACAACTCAGAAGGCTTCTTTCTTAGATGTGGAGCACGGGTTCTTTAGGTGTGCTCGCTGAAGTTGGTGTTTTTCCGCCAGTAAGTTGGATGCGGCGACTGTTGTTGTCGAATAAGTCCTGGTGATCCCCGGTAAACATGAACGTTGGGATCTGTGTTGGGTGGTGGTAGCTAGTTGTGCAAATCACGTACCAGTTTTTGCCTGACTAGATCCTTTTTTAGCTTTGAGGTTTTCAGTGGCTTGGACACTGTGGTGCCTTGTAGCCTCTTTGGTGATGTGATATGGTGTTTTATCTTGGAGATCAGCAGACGGTAGTCCATCCAAAACGTAGCACCACACATAATCCCACTTGTCCCTTTGCCTAACGATGACATAGTCAAGTAGGTAGATACCAGTGTTTGGGTAGTGGGTGCATCCACGACATCTTGTGGTTGGGCAGACTGTGTTGGTGACGAGCAGCGGAGAAATCCAGCAGAAGAAGATCGTTGTTGTTACACTTGCACACGCCGTATTTTCTCATTACTCCTTCCTATGACATGATCTCTAAACACATGGGCGTTAAATTCATCGAAAGTTATGAGTTTGTCTCCCCTGGGTGCAGCCGAGATAGTGTCATTCAGATTCTCGTAGAATCTGTCTTTTGACACGGCAAGTGTAGTCATAGTGAGGGCATACGCGCTGATCAGTGCGGTAAACTTCCTCCTGGGGAGCGGGCGGTGGACAGTCATTAGGCGGTCGTTGTTCCTCTTTGGACGAGATACAAGAATGCTGACCAGGTTTACATTGATGGTAAAGACAACTCATGCCTCGCGTCGTTTGTTGTGTTGTATCCCCGTCCAATCCAAAAGAATGCGTAGCGGGCAGACTGCTCTCTCAGTGGCCTTCCTCTGCTATAGACGGCTCTTGCTGCTCTCGGGCGTTGGTAATGAGGGCGGACAGGCCGGTCAGTCCCCACTCGGTCCAAAAGGGTGCGCACATTCCACGAACCGAAGGTAACTGCTGCCACCGTAGTCGATTTTAATTTTTTGAGTTCTTGCCGCAGGTTTGAAACCCGTATCAGCCGCGGCAAGCTGGCCAGGGAAGAATAGGTCAGGCAATTTTTAGGACCCTTTTCAAGTCTATTACCCAGGTTGCGAGAGGAAGCAGTGCTATCCTGATAAGTGCTGCTTCGTTGCACAGATGGCTGCCGAATTCCGGCGCTGTTTCGTTCACTGAAAAGCGACCGTAGCTACGTGTTGCGTTATGACTGCGACTACCAGTCCGTCCAAACCAATCGCTTTTCCAGGCGTCCATCGCTGCTGGACTTGAGAAGAAGGGGAAGTGATTAGGATGAAGTCATGACTTACATGTGAATTCGATTTAAGTGAGGGAGAGTTGCGCAAGATCGTCAGCCCCACTCACCTGTCTCTGTAGATCTGGTTCCGGTGGTACAACAGCCGGTGATAGGCCAGAGAGGTAGTGAATGTCCGACAGTGTCGTGACTGTCTCACTGTGCCCTAATTGTGCTTCACAACGCGTTGCTGGGACTGCCATACTGCTCGGTGAACTAAACGAATGGTTTCGTCAGCGCAGTGCGCCAGATCCAGGCTACTTGTTGCTAGATTGCCGTCGATGGCTGTACAATTTTTGTTGTATTTTGTTTTTGTTTATATCATGGTGTCTAGCCACCGACCTCACCAGCCCCAGAAGGGCACTGATGGGAGTTCAAGTTTAGTCGCCGGCAACACGAGCCTGGAGCATGTAGTACTAGATTATATTTTACCAGTTGTAGATATTGTGATCTGACCTGATCAAAGACTTTTGGTTATATATATATATATATATATATATATATATATATATATATGTATGTATATCAAACACTCAGATTCAAATGTGCTAGCCCTGTTCCGATTGTTGATCACACTAGATAACAGGCTCTCTCCCAGAACCTGTAACTAAGGTCTGCTCAGCATAGTTGCAGTATAATGCACAGGTGGGATCTGTGGGTATTGAACAAACACAAATATGCCTGATCGAGAATCTGTAACAGGGATTGGCTATTCGCCCTAGTCGACGTGTATTCTCGAATACGAGTTACCAGTTATTATATATATATATATATATGGGTGTATTTAAGCATATATATATATATATATATATGTATGTATATATATGGGTGCATATATGTATGTGTACGTATATATATGTATTTATATATATATATGTGTATATATATATGTATATAAATATAAAAGTGAACATTGAATTCAACACTTAGAGGCGACACTATGTTTCATGCTAGACGCAATCGTCAGCCCACGCTCTATTTCTGATATTGAGCAATTTATCCCATAAATCTAGCACACTTTAAGACTATATTTCTTCATATGTATAAATACATGTATATATATATATATATATATATATATATATATATATATATATATATATATATATATATATCAAAGTGTTGATACGCAGTAAGAAACACTGAAAAATATACGAAACGATAGAAATACGATTCGGCTTTGAAATTCTTCCTACACTACTCACTTCCCAAAATCTCGATGAAGCTTCTGTTTCTTTGGTAGGGGCTTCCTGTTCGCGCAGATTAAATGGCTTCACTCGCTCGTAAATAGGAATAAGCCAAGCTATTTATTTATTTGGTAGTGAGCAAGATAGACAGTTACGCGAGAAGAAAATAGCAGTTGCCTTTAAATCAGGCTTAGAAAGCAGGTCTAGCATGATTCTTATTCAAATGTCATCTCATATCATCGGCTTCTCCTTTGAATACATTTAACATATACATAAATAATTGTTTCATATTGGGAGGTATAAGTTTAAATATATATGTAACGAATGCTACATGTACCCTAGAGTAAGAGATAGATAGATATGAACAAGCAGAATCAGAGTGATGGATAGATACATATGAACTGATAGAATGAGATAGATAGATAGATAGATAGATAGATAGATAGATAGATAGATAATGAACAAGATGAATCAGAAGAAATAGAAAACGTAAGAACTATTAGAATTAGGTAGAGAGACAGAAGTAAACAAACTGAATGCATACGTACGTATATATATATACATACATATATATATATATATATATATATATATATATATATATATATATATATATATATATATGATAAAAAGGCTTAAACATTAAAATTCCATGGTCATAATTTATTTCCATTGGAATCGTAAATCGATCCAATTCAACAGACCTACAAATTAAAACTTTTTTTCTTTTTTTTTGAATTTGTTGTTCTGATGAATTGGAT